AAAAAAAAAAAAAAAAAAAAAAAAAAAAAAAAAAAAAAAAAAAAAAAAAAGGCTAAGTCAACTGAGGGGCAAAAATGTCATTTTGCCCCTCCAACCCAAATAGGGGTCCAAGGAAAATCTAGCCAGATTGCCTGCAAAAGAAAGAAGAGGTTAGAGAGAGGTCGGCCGGGAAGATTAACGGACCACCGCCGGAATCCATCTCCAGACGAGACTCGTACCAGGATTGAGGGGCTATCAAGGCCTACGCACCATCAAAGCCTAAGAACATTTCACGGGGTAAGGTTTCTGAACGATATTGCTCAGATCTGAGTTTTCCCCTACGTGAATCGACCCTAAAATGTTGAAATCTTCACCTAGGAACAACTCACGCACGGTCTGTGAAGAAGTTTGGCCGAGACCTCAACCCAAAAGCGGAGATCCGAGGGTCATCCGAGAACGGTGAGCGAACTTCCGGCGTTCTTAAATCCTCCGATAGTCAAGAAAAAAATTATAAAAAGAATACTAGGACGTAGCCTGTAACACGATCTAGAACGTTGCCGAAGGAATCATATTGATCCGATCTACGGATCGAAAGATATGAAAATCGGAAAACAAAAATCGACTGGGTTTCGGTTTTCAGAGGACAGAGAAGAAAGAAAAAAAAAACGGCCAGCGAGCGACGGAGGGCGGCGACAGGCGCCGGACACGCGTCGACCACCGGCTGGAGCAACACAGCTCCAGCGAGGCTTCGACACGTGTGGCCTGCAAGCCGGGCCGAATCGCAACGCGAGCCGAGCCGACCGGACCGGGCCGGGCCGGGCGACCCGCGACTGTGCAGAATTGGGCGCGCATGGCAGGCGCGCGTGCAGCCTGCGGCTGGCGCCTTCCCGCGCGCGTGGCCACGCACTTCCAGCGTGCTGCTGGGCGCGTGAGCGCGCGTGGAACGGCCAGTTTGGCCCGGTTGTTTTTTGTTTTCTCAATTTTTGTCCCGGCTCCAGTTCTAATACTGTTTTTACGTGGATAGGGACTTAATTTAGAGAAATCAGTAGTGTTGGACACCTCACGGGCAAAGAAACGCTAGCGAAGGGGCACGCGTCAACCAGGTAAGTCACCACCCGGTATTTAGGAAGAAATACTTGTAGGAATCGCTCAGATTGCATGCATGCTAGTAGTTCTGCTTCAGATTAGCTCTTCATGTAAGTTACTAGTCAGTTTATCTGTTGTGTTTGAATTGTGTAAATTACATGAGTGTCGCTTGTATGCCTTAGGCTTCCGCCGTATGTATGCATGCGTTATTTGATGTGTAGAATTGAGTATGCCGGGTTCGGGTGTTTGATGGACGAATTCGCCCCATTGAGCGCGAACTTCGTGCTCTGGGTGCTTGATGGAGGTCATCGCCCCGTTAAGCCGGTATGCCTAGTTTGCATGAAACACATACTATGATGTTAGAAGAAGATTACATGCACCCTCTGTTAATTGCTAGGGCCCATTTCTTTGATAAGATTAGGGAATCTTGGTTAGGAGCGATATGCCGCTCTAGACAGACTTAATTTTCCCCTAGAAACTTAGCGGTTTACCACGGTAAGAAAGTACCTAAGGGGGTTCATAGATTGCTAGCGTGAGAACGGTATCTATAGCTTCGTGGGAGGACCAAGGGTCCCTGATCAGTCCTTACTGTTCTTAGCCATTTCGCATGGGAAATGTGTCCCCACGTCGTACAGCCCATTAGCTGCATGGGAACGGGTTGGGTCGCGCCCCCCCATAGGAGGACTATATGGGCGTAGGGGTATTCAGCACACCCCTAGGCTAGGTACCATGTAGTTCTAGATAGCCATGTAGAGGTAGCGCCTCATAGAGAGATACCGACCATATTAGCTTGGCATAAGGAACCTCTAGGTGACTAATGAAAGGACGATGAACCGGTGAAACCCAAGGGGCAAGCCCCAAGAGACTAAGGTTAGAACCCGATGTCCTAGAACCGAATTAGGAAACCGTGGGAGTTCTGCTAAATTAAGATGCGAAAAGAGCCTACAAGTAGGTGGCTTACTGAGTATAATTTTTATACTCATCCTTGCTATGTTTTCTTTTTTTTTCAGGGGCGCGAGGCGTCGGTCAAGAGTGGGCGTGATCTGAAGGGAATTGTCACAAAGGAATGGGTTGTCCCGGGGCGTCAGTCCAGTCTTAGTCATCATTTTTGTATTCGCATTCTTTTTAAATTTATTTTCCAAACGGTCTTGTGTTCTGTGTTTATCGTTCGAAAAACTTTATTGAAATTTGATGATTTTCGCTACTTCATATTTAAATCTCTTGTGCATCTGTGTCGTGTCGTTAGTCACTGTCCGTAGTAAAATATTGGGCTGTGACAGATATGTTTCAAAGTATTCAAACTACCAAGATTTTAGGAGATTGTTAGACTTCCATAATTTATTATTTTTTGTCTAGTGTATAAGCCTATAAATATTGGAATTGTGCAACTCACAGAGTGAGAAAAGAATAATAAAGTACTGGTTTTGATTTATTTTATCTTTTCCTATCTCTTTCTCTATCCCTTTCCCCAACAAATTTGGTATCAGAGCCAGGTTCATGTTAACATGAGAGTGAGTGATCTTTTTTTTTTCACAAAACAAAAATGGCAATAGCTGGTTTTTTCTTCCTATGCACTGCTGTTACTAATCTTTAATGGTGAGAAATATGACCAAGATGAAGACCTTGCTCAGATCGCAGGAGCTATGAGACTTGGTGGAGCATGGGTTTGTTGATGTATTAGACCTCACAATTGAAGAAAAGGAGAGACTAAGAGAAACCAAGAAAAATGATGTCAAGGCTATATTCATTATTCAGCAAGCAGTTCATGAGACTATTTTTTCACAAATTGCAACAGCAACTATATCAAAGCAAGCATGGTCAATTCTACCGAAGGAGTTTCTAGGAGATTCAAAGGTCATAACAGTGAAATTGCAATCTTTAAGACATGATTTTGAAACTCTGCTCATGACGAATGGCGAATCAATTGCTGACTTTTTGTCAAGAGCAATGGCAATAGTCAGTCAGATGCGTTGTGGAGAGAAAATTTCAGATGAACAATTGTTGCAAAGATGTTGAGAAGCTTTAACTTCAAAGTTTGACCATGTGGTGGCTCCCATAGAAGAAGCTAAGGATCTATCAATACTCTCCATTGATGAACTGATGAGCTCGCTTCAGGCTCATGAGGTAAGAATCAATAGATCATTAGAAAGGAATGAAGATAAGACACTACAAGTGAAGGAGGCTAACAACGAAGGCAACGAAAGAGAAAATATTCATTTAGCAAGTAGAAGTCGTGGAAGAGGAGAATTTCGCAGCTTCCATGGTGGTCATGATAACAGGGATAGATGGAGAAATGATGGACAAAGGCAGTTCAATGAACAAAGTAATATAAGGAAGGTCTTACAATGTTACCATTGCAGAAGGTATGGGCACACAAAAGCTGATTGTTGGTATAAAGATCAACAAACGAATTCTGCAGTAGAAAATGAAGAAGAAGAAGAAAAACTTTTTATGGCGTGTATTGATACTAATCCAAAAAAAATGTGACTTATGGTTTGTTGATAGCAGATGCTCGAACCATATGACAGGCACCAAATCCTTATTCAAAGAGTTTGATGAGATGCAAAAAATTAAGGTGCAACTTGGAAATACAAAAGAGATGCAAGTTGAGGGAAAATGTACACTGAAAGTCGAAACCAGTCATGGTAAGATAAAACAATTAGATAATGTTCAATTTGTACCTGATTTAGGGTACAATTTATTGGGTGTTGGACAATTGATGACGAGAGGAAATTTTGTTCTATTTGATGACAACACATGTGTCATTACACATAAAAAATCAGGCCATAAAGTTCAAATTGTCATGACTTCAAATAAGATGTTTCCACTAGATGTTTCTAACATAGAGGATTTTGCTCTTACTGCTAGCACAAAAGATGACTCGACATTATGACATCTTGATATGGACATTTTTATATGAAGGGCCTAAAAATACTCATGGATAAAAGTATGGTTTTCAGATTACCAACAATTGATTCAACTAATTTATGTGAAGGATGCATTTATGGCAAGTAGACTAGGAAGTCCTCTCCTGTTGGAAAAGCTAAAAGAGCTTCACATTGTCTAGAACTAATTCATGCTGATTTATGTGGGCCAATGAAAATGAAGTCCTTGGGTGAGAGTATATACTTTTTACTATTCATTGATGACTATAGTCACACGAGCTGGGTTTACTTCCTACAACATAATTCATAAACTTTTCAGAAGTTCTAGATCTTTAAAGCTATGGTGGAGAACCAAAATGGCTGTCACATTAAAATTCTTGACAAAGACACAGGTGGCGAGTTTATATCTAAAGAGTTCAATATGTTTTGTGAAGAAGAGGGCATCCAAAGGGATTTAACAGCTCCCTACACTCCAAAACAAAATGGAATCGCTGAACGAAAAAATCGAACTCCTTATGAAGCATGACATGGAAAGAAACCATCTGTAAGTCATTTACGAGTTTTTGGTTGTGTTGCTTATGCTTTGAAACATCCTCAAACTCGTTAAAAGCTTGATGAAAAGTCTGAAAAATGCATTTTCATTGGCTATTGTACTCAATCAAAGACATATAAATTATACAACCCCCTTAGTGAAAAGATATGTAATATTTAATGAAAACGTGAGTTGGGATTGGAGTAAAGAACAGGAGCAGCAAGAGATTACAGTTGAAGTTTCTCAAAATGAAGAGACAAGGGTCAACTCAAGTGCATCTCGTAGTGCCTCCACTGCAACACAAAATTTGTCAAATTCATCATCTTCAGCATCACTAAATAGCAACTCTTCTCTTGAAGAACTTTTGGATGAGACTCCTCCAAGGAAGTATAAATCTTTAGCTAACATATATGTATCATGTCAATTTGCTCTTACTGTTTCAGACCCTATGAGTTATGAAGAAGCAATTGAAAAAGAAGAGTGGAAGAAAGCTATGGTAGTAGAGATGCAGTCCATTGAGAAAAATGGAACATGAGATAATGGTTGACTTACCAAACGAAAAATTCTATGGCGATTTACAAGAAGAGGTCTATTTAACACAACTAGAGGGGTTCATAAAGAAAAACAAAGAAACAAAGGTATACAAGCTAAGACAGACATTATACAAGTTAAAGCAGACATACTTACAAAGGCTTTGTCAAAAGAAAAGCTCTATACTTGACATATGCAACTTTGAATCAAGAGAGAGTGTTGAGATATGATTCAAAGTATTCAAAATTGAGATATGATTTAAAGTAGTTGAGATATGATTCAAATATTCAAACTACCAAGATTTTAGGAGATTGTTTGTAGATTTAAATTTATCTAGATTTTCATAATTTACTATTTCAGTTCCAGTGTATAAGCCTATAAATATTGGAATTGCTTAACTCTGTAAGCATAGAGTGAGAAAACAATAATAAAGGACTACAGCTTTGATCTATTTTATTTTTTCCTATTTCTTTCTCTATCCCTTTCCCCAACAGATTGGTACGGAGACATAGACGATCGGAAAAGTATATGGGGTTATGTATTCTTCATGGGTAACACAACATTTACTTGGCTTTCAAAGAAACAACCGATCGTGACACTCTCAACGTGTGAGGTTGAGT